CATGGCACAGGGACCCTTCCCCACCTCCCTGCTCTCCCTGGCAAAGCCCAGCACTGTCTCCATCACCCCCAAACTTGGCTCTGTGTCCCCCACTCACTACTCCATCACCATCACCAGCTCGGCGGGGCCCTGGGAGGGGGCGCGGGGCGGCACGGGAAGGCGGCGAGGCACTGCACGAGGCGCGGGTGATGCAGCAGGTTCATGAGCTCCACCTCGGCCCGAGCCGCCTGCTTCTCCTTCACTGTCCGTGTCCGGAAATACTTCCCAGCACGGATTTTGCCGGTGGCTTTTTCCTGCAGGCGGAACACCGTCCCGAACTTCCCCCTGGGGCAGAGCAAGGGTGAGGCATGGAGGAGCCATCCCCACCAACCTGCACATGGACAGCCACGGAGCACCCCCAAGGTGGGGATGTTGGACTTCCACTTACTCTCCCAGCTTCTCCAGCTGCGTGTACATGTCTGAAACCTTCTCCTGGCTGTTGATGACCACATCGCAGTATTCAAACGTCTCCTCGCCTCCTGGGAGGGATGGAGCAGGGTGGTCCACGTGTGGATCTCTCATGCTTTGGGGACCAACTACCTGCGCTCCTCCTCCATCTTTCTTTCTGTACCCCCCAACTCCATCCAGGTTCAACCACCCTCCCCATAGAGGGTGATGGGACCTGGGGGGACATGGGAGCATCCCAGGTCATGGTTTGGGGGAAAAGGTGCTTTTAGGATCAAAAATCCAAGCAGAAGGGGGCCATTAAACAGGATGAGGTGGAGACTGGTGCTGACTGGGGGTGTCACACCAGCGCTGGGGTCCCCATGAAAAGCCTGCACCTCCCCCAGGACAGAGCAAGGGCTCAGCCGTACCTTCTGCCTGGGACATGGTGGCACCACCAGCTCCTTGCTGGGTGCTGGTGCAGTCAGGATGGATGCTGGATGTGGCCCTGAGGCTCCTGGCAGCCCTGTGCTGGGGTGATGCCCACGTGTCCGCTCCAGCTGTGAGGATACCTTCTCCCTGCCAAGGGAGACCTCCAGCATCTACCCACCTCCGCCTGCATTCCCCATCCCACCCAGCTCTGGTGGCAGATACAGACACACACTTTGGGTCCCTAAGAGCTGATGTCTTGGTGGACCTAAAGAGACCCAGCAAGGGGCCAAACACTTTAAAGCAAAGTCCCTTCTTAGGGACAACCTCTTTGCAGCAGCACCTTAAGCTCAAGGACATTTTTCTCATGCCCAGTCTTGCATCAGCCAGGAAATCCCCAGGAAGTCTCATTTCTAGGGCAAAGGACCTGTTTCACTGACCTGTCACTGTCCAGTCCTGTCCCAGGCCACCAGCAGGTCCCTGATCCTTCTGGTGACTACAGAGCTACCACGGAGCTGGAGAGGGAACGAAGAGGTGATTCTGGGGATCAAGGACCATCAGGACCACACATACAGGGATGTCCTGGGGCTCTCTCTGGGCAGAGCCAGGAACATCCCTCCTGCTCCAGTGCTGGAGCAGCCCAGGCTCTCCCCTCCCTTTCCTTCCCAGTGAGTTTCCGGACTTGGGGAATAAACAACCAGGACCAGCATCCCTGAGCCCTCCCGCAAACCATGCCCAGCACCACTGTCCCAAACCCCCGGCATCCCATTTGACACCGTGCAGGGTCACAGGTCTGCAGCATGGAGGGGTCTTCAGCGGGGAAACCCCAAGGGGAGGCTG